AGAGAAGGAGCTGCTATTGTGGTGTTATCCAAACACCTAAGCTCACTATCACGTCTGTTCTTCTGTCTGGTTTTAATGAGCGGTTTGCCTGGCAGCTCTCTCAAAGCCCTTTCATATACAGTCAGATCACACCACGCAGAAGTGTGTGTAGGTTAATAAAATGTGGTGCTGGGAGGGAATTTGAGTCTTTAATTAATACACACATTTAACACAACTGACAAAGTGTCACTGAGCCCCACCGGTAACACTCACCCTATGTGCTGGTTTCATGCTGAAGCTTTTAGCTGGAAGGTCAAAAGTGTGAATGCAATTTTCTTTTTATTCTTACTGTGGTAAAATTTGATAGAGGAGGTTTTCGGCTTTTCTTTTCTCCTCCAAGTAGGCTTGTGTTCGCTCCTCCACCAAATTCTCCAGGTTGTTGGCATACTGCTCCATCCTGGACAGCAGATTGTTAAGAATACTGGTACTGCCTTCCCTGTAGAAAACACACACAGAGGCCATATCCATTGGCTGGTCAGTAGAGAACTAGGGGCTTTTTGAAATACTAGTAAAACACTGCATGTTTTAGACAAGTGTTATATAGTTTCGGCCAGATTCTAACACAAAAAAGGCTTTATGCAACATTTTACACATAACATTCCACAAGACATAAACAGAATTTTAAAATTGGGGGAATCCACTTTTAAGCTATTGATTATCCATGTTCCTGTTCTTATCAAATTGTAATTGCTTTGTGAAACTGGTTTGCCATTGTCAAGGTCAGGGGCAAACTGCTCATAGTTTTACCACTTGAATACCTTAAAAAGTAGCAAAGCATGCAGGTAAAATCCCAGAAAACATATTACTGTTCCACTGTGAAATTTATTTCTGTTTAAGCCTTGTTTGGATTCAGTATCTCTTGTATGTGAACACACAGCAGCTGCTGTTACCAGCAGAGTGGAAAAACAGACAGCCCCAACATACTACAAAAGATCTCTATTTTCATCCCTACTGTACAGCTTATATTTTATAATTACATAATACATGCATTGCATAATGTGTGTGTCTCAGGAGATTTCTACATTCCTATGCTGACGCACACACACATACACAGACATGCACGTACTGTACATGTATTTACTCTAACGGAGCAAGCAGGTGAGTCATCCACACCACCATGGTGACTAAAAGCATCAATGCCTGGCATCCTGCCACGTTTCTTCTGGGTCACAGATCCTACACACACCCACGTTGTTTAACTTTAAAGAACAAAACATCAGAAGGAGACGTGAAAGACGGTGATGAGTATCAGTGCACGGAAAGCAATCACACAGGCCACACACTGTTTACAGCGCCGCACGTCATAGACGTCCATATTCCCTCACCATTCATCCATACTGAGTGTAAACTGCCTCGTTGCTGAGCCTATTCAAAAGAGACAACACAACAAATTACAATAATTTCAGAAAGAAATTCAATCCTGCATCTTATTTTAAAATCTTAACCATTTTCACTGAAAGGTTTGGCCAAGGACAAAGGAAGAACTGATTAATATTTGGTGCTGATATTGACACCATCTGTCCGTTTAACAATAAAGCGCTTTTAGCTTTAACTTTCCAGTCATACAGGTGCTTTCTGTGTGTTCAGTGTAAAAATAACAGCAGCTGTGCTGCAGAATTCAGTAGCAGTGGCAAGCAGAAGGAACAGTTGCTGCTCTTGTGAACAAGCACAATTATTTGCCAGCAGTTGATGATAAAAAAAAAATAAAAATCGCAGTGTAACCATGGCAACTACAAAAACCACACAGAGGAAAACGATCCAGAAACTAATTTAACTGGTCTGAATACCCTGTACAATTTCACCAGCATTGAACAACCAGCCTCAAAGCTTAATTGATTTTCTGGGTCAATAAACAATGGTTAGAAGTTTAACTAGCTAAGCTTGCTAAAGCTAG